TCAGTTCCGCCAACTCCGCAGGTTGCCCGAGGACGAGCGCCTTGAAGTTTACGCGCACGTCAGAAAGCTACTTGCCCGTGTCACCGAAGCAATGACCCAAGATGAAGATGAGACAAACGATGACGTTCGAGATTCCGCATCAAAAAGAAGGTGCCAGGGTTTGTTTGAAGACTGGTGTGACGCGCAGGACAAGGTAGCCTCTGACGAATGGGAGGAGTATCTGCATGGCAAGAAAGACTCGTGCTCAGGAGTGGCTGATCTTTGTGACTTCTGGAGAGCGCACGATAAAGAATTCCCGAAACTGTCCATTCTATCCAAACGCATCCTGTGCATCCCTGCTACAAGTAGGGGTGTCGCGAACTTTTGTCGTACCAGATTTTTTGGTCGAACTTTCGGGGTTCGACTGGATCGAACCGGTTTCGACGAACCTTCGAACTTTTCACCAGATTCGACCGGTTCGACTTTGTGGACAGTGTGGCCAGCCCTTAATACAAGCATGTCTAGGTTTGGAGAATATTTTTTTATGCAAAGGGTTATTGTATTTTTTTTGAGCAGCTGCAATTAAAATAAACTAATTCTAATCACTGAAGCAGTTAATAACTTAATTTTTAGTACTGTATTAACTGAAATAGCCAATCAGCGCCGCACTTAATTCATCTCTTAGCCATTACCATCCAATCCGAAGCCAACTGGCCAGCCTGTCGCGCATGCGCACACGAGTCGAACCTCAATACAAGGTTCGTCGAACTTTCCACTAAAAGTTCGAAAAAGTCGAACCTGGTCGAACTCGAATCGCGGCCGGTTCGCGACACCCCTAGCTACAAGTGCTAGCAGCGAACGGAACTTTAGCGCGGTGGGCTACATTGGGTCCATATCACATGAGCGAATGACATTTTAGCGAACAGCGACATTTGAGCGAATCAACGTTTTAGCGAATAACGGGGGCGCGCGCTAACCCATCCGCCGCGCTGCGCTTTACGCCGCTTCGCGGCGACAGTCTGCGGCAGCTCATTACAAAAATGTGATCCCATTTGGCCCACCCGAAAACGCCGCTTCGCGGCGCCCGACTATTCGCTAAAGTGTCATTCGGTGAAACGTGGGCGTTCGCTAAAACGTCATTCGATCAAGTGAGTGCCTCCCGGCTACATTATGCAAGCAAGACGGACCTGCCTGAAGAGAGGGCCCATGGACAAGTTATTGTTTCTCCACAAAAATATGTAGGAAGAAAATGTCTCTTAAGCAAATTGAATAGAACAACGAAATGTGCAATATCTCTTCAATAAATTCATAAATAAAAAATTCCCAACTTTTGTCTCAAGGATTGTCGGTGTGCGATGAGTTCAAAGACTGTCGCAAATGATGCGCATATTTCACCCATTCTCTCGACAATACATATTCTAAGTCGACATATTTATGATATAAAAAACTAGGTCCCAGTTTTCCGGCTCGGGCTGGGCTAGGGCTCATATTTGAAAATGTTATCAGGCTCGGGCCGGGCCCGGGCCGTGTCTCTACCGGGCCGGGTCAGGCCGGGCCTAGAAATAAAATATTCTGTCGGGCTCGGGCCGGGCCCGGGCCGTGTCTCTACCGGGCCGGGTCGGGCCGGGCCTAGAAATTCCGGCCCGTGCAGTGCTCTACGGCGTGGCACTGACTCTGGATGCCTTGGGTTTTCTTCTTTGTGGACAGGCACACCAGTGTCCTTTTTTCTACACCCATTGCATGTCTTGTCGGCAGCAGGACACTTATTTGGCATGCAAGTGTGGGTGCGTGGAACGACACCATCTGCAAGCTTGGTTCTGTTGTTTGTTGCGAATTGGTAGCTGCTTCTTGTTTTTGGCCCGCTGCGCGGAGGAATGAAGCTCGTCAACGATCGCGTTCGACTGTGCCTGTGGTCGCAGTTCCTCGAGTTCCTGTTTCATAGTTTCTGAATTCTGAGCCTTGGAGATCACCGTCTCCAACGTTAGTTCAGGGTTGAGCTGAAGCTGCTCCCTCAGCTTGACGTCGACAAGTCCCACGACGAGTCGGTCTCTAATTAGCTCCTCTTTTAGGTCGCCGTATGCACATACCTCTGCCAGCTTGTAGAGATCTGTCACAATGGCGTCGACCGTTTCGTGCGCTTCCTGCACACGCCTGTTGAACTTGAACGTTCGTAGATGACGTTCGTACGAGGGACAAAGTGTTTGCCGAAGGCGGTTGTCACTGCATCGTAGTCGTGTTTCTGGGCATCAGTCAGTTTCAGCGACGCCAGGACATCTCCTGCTTTGCAGCCCATAGCGTAAACTAACGTGTTCACTTGGGTCTCCCCGTCTTGTTTTTTTAACCCAGGAATGACCCGGTACCTCTCCCATCGGGTGAACCAACGCTTCCAATCTTCGGGACGTCGAAAATCCAACCCTTCGGGCAACTCAACGACGAAACGATTTAGTGACGTTGGTTGTTGTGCAGCTTATTGTCCAGTGGCCATCGCTTATCGGTCAGCATGGTTGTTGCAGACGTATCTTGGCGTGGCGATGCAAAGTTTCGGATTCCGAGCATTCCGCCGACGTACCCTGCCGTGGCGACGCAAAGTTTCGGATTCCGGGCGTTCCTGTGCCTTGCCTCCCCAGAGTGGTTGCTGTTGTAGCTAGTTGACTTGTCTTCCATAGCATCCCACGGCTGCCACCACGTCGGGACGAGGTTGGTGTAAATCAGGCGTTTATTTCGGGTTAACGGTACGTTACATGGTTACATGAGCAGTGAGCCCGCACGTTAGTCTGCGTAGGTACGTCGTGTCGTTGTTCTCGGTCCCAGACTCTCGCACTCAGTCCTCTCGCTGGCTTCTTTGTCTGGCTTGTGGCGCCCTTTTTGTACTGTGGCTCTCATCTCTACATTCCACCCAATTTGTCTATGCAGCTCACGGTCTTGGCCGCTGTGTGGGCGGTACCAGTCAAACATTGGCCCCAAAGTCAAGCGATAGTTCTCGAAGCACGAGCGAACAACGATCGGCCAAGCTAACACCTAGCTGCCATTCCACAGCCAGTCAAGTGGCGGACAAAGTGTAGTGGCAGAACGAGTCTCATTTGGGACGTTTTTACCTATGCAATGTCGTTGTTCCTTTACTTCCTTCAACACCATCTACCTTCGAGTACTTGATGCTTAAAGTCCTGGTAAATTGACATTTAACCACAAAATGGCAGAAAGGAGATGTCGGAAACCATACACTCAGCTGTTGACCCTCGATCCAATACTCAGTTTCACCCTACCTTGGCGAAAGACGAAAGCTGCGACCACGGCAAGACGAGTGGAGCGAGTTACCAAGTAACGTGATAATGCACCGCTGTTCTGCACTCTTTTCGTGGAGTGCTGTCGTGGGGTTTGCTTCACCGATTTAATTGCCTCAAGGTGGTGGTAGCTTTTGCCCTTTCTCAGGTTATGCTCAAACGAAATATAGTCGAAACACGAGTTAAGCAATGTGCAATAAACATGCTCGGAAATTTGTTTTTTCCAAGCGAGGGCTTTGCAATGGCTCACACCTGCAGTACAACTAGCATGAGCAAGTGTGAAAATATGTGGCAGAACTGCTGCATTATTTCTGCAACAGCTGCAATTGACCATTGTGCAATGGTCAATTGCAGCTGTTGCTGTGCTATATCCACTGTGCAATGGACAAAGATTCCGGAACTGACAGCCAATAGGTAAACCAGCAGCTTGCCTGTGTCTACGTGCCAGACTTGCATTTCACGCTTGGTAAAGTCAGTAAAAACTGGCAGTGGTTGTTTTTAACTCAATTTCAAACAACAAAATTATGAATTGAAGAGTTGTACAACAGATTTGAGGAAGCAGTTTCTCAGCAATCATTTGCAGAGGTCGACAGGCTTTCTCATGTGGGGTCCATATCACAAGAGCGAATGACATTTTAGCGAACGGCGACATTTGAGCGAATGGTCGTTTTAGCGAATAACGGGGGCGCGCGTTAACCCATCCGTCGCGCTGTGCTTTACGCCGCTTCGCGGCGACAGTCTGCGGCAACTCATTACAAAAATATGAACTCACTTGGCCCACCCGAAAACGCCGCTTCGCGGCGTCCAGTTATTCGCTAAAGTGTCATTCGATGAAACGTGGGCGTTCGCTAAAACGTCATTCGATCAAGTGAGTGCCTCCCGTGCAACGTTGGAGTGTAGCGTAGTGGTTAAGACATCTGCCTCGTAAGCAAGCGGTTCCGAGTTCAAACCCCGGGCGTATGTTGTTTTTTTTTTTTTTTTCAAAAAGTGGGCTGATCCCGGAGGCAGTGCAATCGATGTAAGCACGGACGCCGGACGGATGGACAAGGCTAGACCCTAATGAGCTTCGCCCCCTAAAAAGCGTCCCCCCCCCCCCCCACACACACACAGAGCTTGCTACTCTCCATAACTGGTGGTTTCTCCTCTCCAGCATCCACCCCAGTAAAGTGAAGAGAGTGCAACACTTTGTGGGTCCTGTTATTAACATGCAAGGCACTATAGCTTGGTCTACTATGGCAGCACTCTCAACTGCAGTAGTAATTTTCACCGCAGCTGCCTGGCTGTGAAGCAAGAACTGAACAAAGCAGTGAACATTTGTTCGTTACTAGGCCATCGTTTGATAAGAAAAATCTGCACTTTTTTATTTTTCAAATTTCGGTGTATTTCGGTGATCTGCTCGAAAATACACCAAAAGCGATAAAAAAAAAATCAAATGAAAAAATTAATTTGTCCACAGAAAAATGGTGAAAAATGGTCCTAGCTGGAGCAACAATTTCTAGAAATCTGCGTTTTTAGGTTTTAATGGATTTTGTAGTTTTGACAACGGATGTTTATCAATGTTTACTGGCATTTCTCGGATAAAACTGGAAAGTCTACGGCCTATCCACGACGTATCGTGCACCACAAAGCACCCTAGAGTATCACACCTGGGTAGTTTGCTTCACCGCCTCTAAAAGTTTCCCTCAGACGTAGCCATCAAGGAAGTCAGTGTCTTACATCGTTGATTCACTCGAGACCCTGTTTTGGGTTTCTTCTTTTTTATTAAGACCTTGCATCTTGCCGCTGTTACCAAGCTCTTAAAAGCAAACACTAACATGACACGTGCACATAATAATTTCCCTATGAAAACTTTGGACTGCTGGGTGGACTCTAACGCCTTCCGAGACTACCTCACGCGCCGCATCGTCACAGATTCCGGGAACGTACACCAAACATAATGGCAACTAAAAAAACAAGGAAAGAAAAATAATATTACTCTACCACAAACAACAAAGTGGTCAGTCCAGCACTTTTTCTTCCTTTGACAAGCTTCGTCCTGCATACATAATGTCTGAACACAATTAATATTGCAGCGTGTACGATGCACAAAAAACAGGACATCTGCGGCCCCGCGTCTTGCGGGAGTTTGCCCTCTTCGAGATCCCGGGAGGGGAAAAGAAAAAACAAACAAAGAAAATGGTGCAGCGAAGAAAAACAAGACTGGAGGCACTTTTCTGTCGTTCTTCTCTTCCCCCCTCCCTCAAAACCTTCCAAAACTCGCGAGAGTCCAAAGAGAAAAAAAAAAAAAGAAAGGCCGCTTAAATAATACATTCTTCTTTTACTACAAAGTCCGTTGGAATAAAGGGGTGGCCTCAGTGTCCAGTCCGCACGACGACCCCACCCTCTTGAAGGGGGGCGACGCAAAGTCTCTCCTTGCTGACAAAAAAGACACGGCCCCCGCCCCCCGAAGCTGCGTCCGTCGATGGTGCAGACGATTCCGTAACAAGTCGCTACAAGCGCAGAGGGAAGGCGTAACAATCACAAAATGGGAAGTCGAAATCAAGAGTGGGGGGACAGCCGACAAGGCGGGAAAGATGAAAAACAACTGGCCGGCATTGCCGTAATGGCACTTTGTAATAACCCACCTTCCGCAGCTCCGGTGGTGACCAGCCTCATGAGACGAGTTGCGCGACCCTGGAGATTGCGTAACTCGGAGGGCTACGAGTCTGGTTCACACACTCGCGACTGCTCGCACACGGAAAGGCTAAAAATCGGTTATTAAGCCTCTCACGACTGCTTACGACCGTCTGCACAGCGTAAACAGTCGCAAGGGGCTTAACGACAGGCATTTCGTCTCTGGTTGTAAGCAGTCATAAGCGTATGAACCAGACTTGACCTTCAGCCTATGAAAGCTGCGCACTTCCGAGGCAGCGCAACCTACCAAACTTGCACGTGGCGGCACAATCTGTCAACTCCTTGGCAGACGGCGCAGTGGGAGCCGTGTGCAGGTTGGACCAATCGATTCGGTCTCCCAACGCAACGCCTACGGCCGATCGGTCCGCGAAGCACGTAGCACCCACTCGCCCTCGGCTCGTAGCGGACCATTGCCGGGCAACCGACAAGATTCGCACACATAACCAAACAATCAATCCACCAGACTCGCACATGTGACGAAGCACCTCGTTGGCAACCCCGTTCGTGTTTCGGCAGAAGACATGCATTCGCACATCGCCAGACGACGTTGGAGAGTCGTGGAGCCGGCCAACAATGTGCTCTTGTTGAGTCTGTTAGCGAAGAGTGCCGAGCGCTTGCCCGGCAAGACCGGCCCTTGGATTTCAGCAGAGCTCAATGAAGGCAGGTGCACTAAAATCGGGCCCCATCCTCCCGAGACGTGCAACCACGTGACTCCGCAGAGTGCAAAGACGCATAGTTTTGCGGCATTCTGGAGATGCTCATGGTGGATACCATGGAAAAGCAGAAAAAAGAAAGGAAGCCCCGCCCTTTGACATCAGGGGAATGTAGTCACAATCGAGTGACGGCAAAGATTAGGTGGGTGACTGAAGCTTCAATTTGATTGCACTGACAAGTTAGTTTGGATCGAACCACATGGAGAAAAAAAGAGCAACGTCCGGTGCAATAAAAGAAGGGAGTAAAAAAAAACGATGGTTCACGAGAGCCGGCCTGTTGTTCCACCGATGCAATGCTTCTATTTTGGGATGTGACACTAACTGATGGCCATCCACAGTTACAAGGAGTGTAGTTGCAAATGTGCATGTGAAAAAAAAAAAAAATATAAAACCCAGCCTGTCAGAGACACATTTGAATGGTTTTCCCTAGATGATTGTGCATCCCACAGAAACAGGAAGCGCGAAAATATCTGATCGCCACCCCTCGTCTTTTTCGCCCGATGTCTCAAGCAAAAACAGCGCTCCGATTAGACTGTTCCCTGCGTGGTCTGGAAAACGGATCCACGCTTGCCTATGCAGAAAGCAAGTCGCCTGCTTTTTGCGCAGGGATTGCGGTGATGTCAGAACGACGCTGAGCTCCGATTGAAAGGATAGTGGGTGGAGCTCAATGCTAGATGCCTTGAGGTCTACCCAGCATTTTATTTTAATCAGCCAATAAGAGCACGGTGTTCTGACCTCATCGCAACCCCTGTGCAAGAAGCAGACGAACTTGAGCTCCACATTAATATACCGTCCACCTTTTTCCTCAACCGGAAGCCAAGAGTCCAAGCTCATAACCCTGAAAGATGGTTTCGCTTCCCATCAACAGTGCACACCCAAAAGCTAAAAACGTCAAAATAACAGACACTGACCAATTTTGTAGCGCTTAATCTAGTCACCTTTGTAGCTAATCTGCTCTGGCTCGCGACTCATCTTTCCCACTGTTGCTGCAATGACGCAAGTTTTACTCATCAATTCCAATTTCACGATCCATTCCACGTCTTCCGTGATGTGACCTCGAAGGTGCAAGAGACAAAATAGATGAGCTTGCACTGAAAAGCTTTCGCTTCAGTCAGAGAATCGTGAATGAGGTATAGATTTTGAGTCAAAGGCCCGCTGGCAAACATTTAACAACCCCCGTTCACAGACTCGACAAAAACAAGCCATCAACTACCTGGTCACATTTCAGCAGCAGTGACTGCCGACAAACAATTTGTTTGTCGTTTTGTTGGCGACACGGGGGCAGGGTTGCACTTCGCGAACGTTCGAGAAATTCTACTCGCAGACACGACAACAAAATGTTGGCAATCCAACCGTGCCTCAATGACCAGTGCGCCCGCCACAAATTGCCAACGCCAACAAATCACTTATCTTTCAAAGAGTTCTTAGGGCCGTTCACATAGCACCATTAGTTTACTTTGCGTTACATTACAGGAGCTTACGTCTGCATACGTCGAGTTCGGACTGCAAGTCCCCGGGACATTCGTGTTGCGATTGAAGCATGCCAACTAATGCGCCGAGAAACTGAGGGAGAGGAGGAGACGAGAGCCTGCATCTGCACTGCACTCGTCGGACGAGTTCGAAAGTGAAAGCCAATGGGGGATTCCGGTGTTCCACGTTTTAATCCGTTCAATGAGTGCGGCGGAGACGAAAGCAGCTGGCTTTAGGCCTACCCACTAATCAGTCCAACCAAAGCTCGACGTTCCGACGTTCTCCTCTCCGTCAGTTTTTCGGCGCATCCGACGAGTAACTTTGCATGCAACAGACGAAGCACAAACGTCCCGGCCACTCGCGGTCACAATGCAACGTAATACAATGCAAGCAAATGCTCCCGCTCAAATGAGCTTTTTCCTCCTCTTCGTCGGCGGTCGGTCAAACGTACGCCGGACGAAGCCGGCCACCCTCTCAAGAAGGGGCTTTTCTTGTCGTGTCTGCGACTAGAGTGCGTCGAACATTCGCGGGGCTCGCTCCCGCACGTGTCAAAAGAGACTTGCGGCACACGACGTTTGAAACAAAGGCGGGGCTCCGAAAGGCAGGGCAAGAGACAGCAAGGGGCCGGTTGCAGCATAGTGCGTCAAAACCGTCGAGATAAGTTCACTCCTCTTCGCGTGAATGACTAAAAAATGTGGCGGGCAACGTCGCAGGACGTTGTGCTGGGGCAGCACGGGGGCAGCCACGGCGGGAAAAGTCGCGCAACCCTCGGCGTCGACCTTGTCCGACCCCCAGACGCGCACCACGTGATCACAGGCAAAAGGAGGCCACGCCTGATTGCGTGACCCTCCGAGTTCCACCCCTCCGTCGCCACCGGCCAATGGGAGAAGAGCGTAGAATGGGCAATCGCGTGCGGGCAGCCGCACCTCTCGCGTCTCGCTTGCGGCACCGTTGGAAGCATGGTCGGGCGGGCGCAAACACCGTTTGTTCAGATTCGAGACCGAATTTCGAGCACCGGACGAAAACTCCGCGAACGCGTTGCTCGTAGTCGTGGGTATGCGAGGTGACGAGCCAACGTTTTTTGGGACGTAATCAACGGAGTTTGAGGTCAGAAAATTTCTGAAAGCTTAGGCATGCTCATTTCTCTAAAGATAGGTAGTTACCCTTTTAGAGCACAAATACAAAACAAATGTCTAGTCCCGCCATGCAATTGGAAAATGTATGCTATGACATTTTTTATTGTTAAGAAATTTTTCAAAATTTTAGATGGGCATTAGAAAGTGCATTTTTTTGTGACAGTGTACTGCATACTGTGCCTGCCTAGGTAGAAAAAACAAACTGCTGGTTCAAGCTCGGTTACTAAAAGCGAGCTAATTGCGCCACATAGAAATTTTGTAATAAAAAATTTCACGCATTTGTAATCAAGCAAGCTTGTCCAAGCGCCCACGAGTACAAGGACAGGTCCGCACGTCTGCTTTCAGTCTCTCACTTTCATGACTCAAATGTCGTTCCTAAAGTGATGTCCCTCGTATCAATCTTAAGACAGACTTCAGCGGCCAGCGACTATATGGCTATGAGAACAGAATGCCTTTGATATTTGTCTAGAAGACACAATTCACTAATCATGCTTTAACGTTTTTTTTCTTTCCTCGAGACTGAGACTAATGCCCAAAATGTGACAATAATGAGAAAGCCCTAGGTTGATGCGTTCATCGGGGCCTTTGAGCTCAAAGGTGCTAGATGAAAGGCGTCGCACTTACCCATCAAAACCCTGAAAAGTATGGAAGATAAATTAACGCAAAACAAAAACCACCAGAAGTGCTAAACATCGCAAAGCTGCCGACGCGACTTCCACAAGCGTTATTTGACAGTATGCTGGCAAGAAGCAAGCTAACGCTGCTCTTCCGTCCATGACTGCTCGATACAGCTCAAGTTGCCAGACCGAGTCGAACAGAATCAGAAAGAACAGACCGTTCACACCGAGGTTCACATTAGCAAAACAATTTGGCTTCATTCTCGCACCGCGTGCGAACTGTACAATCGGTGTTGACCGTGCTAGATCGGAGATGCAGCCTCCAGAAAGGGGCTCCACCCATCCTTTTGTCATAGTGCACGGTAAACTAGCCTAGAAAAACTTTACCCAATTCCTAGAACAATAAAACGTCCCAAAAAACTTGAAAATGCTGTCCAGACACAAACGGAAAAAGCACCACTTTTCCGAAACCTAGCAGTCCGTTCGACGGCTCGTAGCGGTCGATAAATCGAGCGTCCGCGCTCAAATGGTTCCTCACCAGTGCTCGGAAAGACCTGAGTATTCCTAAAGTCGAGGCGCCAACGGCCATTGCCCACTCTCCACCCCTCGCCGCACACTCCCCGGCGGCGGAGGGGGCGGAAGCGTCCCCCCCCACCCCCCCCCCCCCTTACCAGTCTGTATTTACATAAGGCAATATGTGAAGCACGTCACCCCCCAGCGACTCCGCCGTGGTCACCTCCTCCCAGCCGCGCCAGGCGCCCCCGTGGTCGTACACCCCGTTGACAAACTCCCACCGCTCCGTGGCAAAGCGTTCCTCCACCGCGGGGGTCACTTCCATCGGCGGCCGCGGCGCGTCCTCTTCCTCCTCTTCCTCCTCCAGGTTCCCGAAGGAGCTCAAGTCCGGGAGAGCGCTCAGGATGCTGGCGATCTCGCGCGACACCGGACCGTTGGGCGGCTCTCGCGCGGACGACTGGAGAAAGCGGTCCATTAACTCCGACTTAGTCCGGCTCGTCTCGTCGTCCGTTCCAAGGAGGCTGTAGTTGCCCGCGCGCTTCAACGGGCGACGCGACGCCGCGTGGCGTGTCGCCGCCGGTGTTGGCGGAGACAACGTTGGAGGCACTACCACTCCGTCGAGGGACACGTTGGCGCCGCTCTTGGCGCGGAGGTCGGCGATCAGCTGCTGCGTCGTCTTCACCTTGGGCATGACGCGGGGGGACGTGACGCTGGTCGTGCACTGGCTGCGGCGCACGCTCTCGAACGCGGAGTTGCCGCTGGGGATGGAGGCGTCCCAGACGGCGGCTGCGGTGGCGGCGGCCGTGGCGTGGACCCCGTTGGGGGGTGTCCACGGGACGCCGGAGGAGGCCCCCGACGCCGTTGCGGTGGTAGCTGCCTTCTTGAGGCCATCTGCGGGAAACGGGGTAAGACAACATTAGCGCACTTCCCGGACTTCCTAACATGAACCCAAACCCAAACTCCTGTTCAGAATACGACGACTTCACTCATAAAATTTAAAAACATGAAATATTTCACTCGTACCAGTGCCTTTTATATACTTTCCGTGCCTATCAAAAGGTTCGCTCGACGCCGTTACCTCCTACGCTCGTGGTGACCACATGAGGGCACCAGGTTAGCAGGGTATGTCATCATCATGTGTAGGATTCTGGATTCGGATTTTAATTCTGCGGCTTCCCCTTTGTATCAGGTATCAATGGTAGATACTGGATCCAGCCAGTTGCCTCCCCCGCAGCCCGTCTGCTTCGGCTGCCTCGGTCCGTTTTGCGTTTGGCACTCGGCGGTAGAAGTCGTCTGCCTGGGCTTCGCCGCAAAAATTTGTTAAAGTGGCCAAGAAAAAAAAGAAGCCTGTCGGGCTTTCTTTTCATACTGTCCCCCGCTGACATTAATTCGAGAAAAGAGTGGCTCGCTGGAATCCGATGAAAAAACTGGACACCGAATGACGCGTCGTGCTACACCAGAATATGCAGCGAGCACCGAAACGCACGCTGTCTGCTTCTTCCGAAATAGCGGAACATTTAACTACAGTTGAACCTCTTTATAACGAACACTGATATAGTGATTTATCGGATATAGCAAACTAATCGCAAAGTTTGGTTGGTCATGCTTTATTTGGATGGGAGTTCTAGTTATATAACGAAACCGAAACCATGAAATCTGACGTGCTATCAGTTATAGCGAAGCAATTCCTGCTTTTCTTGCATCATAAAATACTACGAAGGTTATTAAAAAGTAGAAAAAATACAAAAAGGAATTTCTAAACGAAAAATTCGGGAAGTTTAGATTGCCCAATGTGCAAAAATGTGAGTTTCGGGAGGTAGCGCCACCTAGGAACCGAGCGAATATCGGCGGGTGCGCCGCTGCTAGTTTCTATGCGAGGCATCAAGAACCAGCGCAGACTAAAGCCAACTGCCAACTACGCCACTTGTAGTAGAGCTGCAAATGGCGACAAAGTGAAAAGCTGTTTCTCTGGAGACAAAAGTGAAGGTTTCGAGGGTGGTGGAATGCGGTCGGAAGAAAAAAGACATCAGTGCAGACATAAAGTTTGCACCAAGCACGATGTCTACCATCCTGAAAGCAAGGAAGAAGATAGAAGACTGCTATGCAAACAACACCACCAAGACTGATCGAAAGAGTCTTAGCCCTTGCCTCGACCCGGACGTGAAAGAGAGACTGTTCTCATGGTTTAAGGACGTAACGGTGTGAAATTTGCCGGTGTCTGGTCAGCTTCTTCAAATGAAAGCAACCAGCCTGGCCTGTCTGTCAGGGTATGATGATTTCATCGCGAGTAGCGGTTGGCTCCAGTGCAATGGCTCCAGGTGAAGAGGCACCAGCCCAAAATCACGTCTTCAAATAAATGGAATAATAGATCCAGTTAGCGTCGTTCCTTGTGTTGCAAATTGATATCCTCAAGCTCCGATCTATTTTCTTAATGCTGCTTTGTGACACGTAAGGATCTCACGGTCTGCGATAGCGTATTTTATATCTCAGTTCTGTGCACGTTTTTGCACGGGCTCGATTGCAAGAAGGCTTGCGTCAATTTTTGTGTGTACTCTTATAACGAATAACGCATATAGCGAACAATTTTCTGCTCCCGATGTTAGTTTGTTACAACGAGGTTCCGACTGTATCAAATAGGACAATCAGAGTACCAGCATTTCCTCAGGACCACCTGCTTTTCTGAATATACGGGTAGTAAGGTGCTGGCGTACTGCCCGCATATTCAGAACGTCAGCGGAACAGCCAGAACGGATGGATGGATGCGTGGCATCTATCCATCTATCAAAACGACCCCATTTCAGTGGCGCACCTAGCGCCAAAACGTTGCACTTGTGACGACGGTGGCAGCCCATTAATTTCCCTTTCTTTTGACAGGCACTGAAAGTATAGACCTTTTCACCCTCCGTCGCATGGCTGCTGCCATCTTGGAATCACGTGATGCGGCCGCCATGAGGTGGCTTCAAATCGTCGCTCCTCTCTCCCCTCCTCGCCCTGTCAGAGGCGTAGTATTCCTGTTTTTTGTCGCGTTTTACCACGCTTTTTTTCCTTGCTTTGTGAAGCGCCGTCTGACACTTCTTCTCACTACATAACTGCATGCCATCGTTATGTGCACAACTTCTGCACTTGATTTTAGAGCATGTTTTGACTATTTGCACCATCGGTGTCCCGGAGACGTGCGAGGAAAGGACTCAGCGTTGCTACTGGGTCACATTGAGTACGTAGGTGACCCTAAGGCTCGCAAGGGTTGAGAGGTCAATTATTTATGACAGAGCAGATTTGCTTAAATGATAGTGGCACAGTAAGAAGAGAGAGGTATGTTTATGATCACGCATTAATGACCTTAAAGAAGGCAAATATGGTCAAGGGAAGGAGTCGCTGTGCGTTTCTTGAAAGCATCGTGATCTGCTTTCGTAACAAGCTTTTGATAATATGGGGGGATCATTTTGCGGTATAAACATTCGCTTGATCTGTTTATTTGGAAATTTAAAGGAACTATACACTGTGCTCAGTCTCATGACTGCAGTCATTCAATTATCTAAGGGGGGACACAACCCAGAAAAAGAAATTCTGCAAAAAAAGTTCATTCAGAAAAATTGCCATATTTAGATCCACCAACATCTAGAGAGTAATCCCGGAAAGTTTCATTAGCTTCCACTACATAGTTAATTTTTTTATAAATTAACTTCGGTCCATTGCTGCTAAAGAAAAAGTAGGGGTTGGAGCACCTTGAATGCATTTTTCTCCGTTCCACTTTTCAGCATAAATTTCACTTTAGAAAAACTATTGTTTTCCTATTACACATTACAGAATTACCCTTGGGTGGTTTTCTTGGATAGAACTCGGTGTGGAACATGCCTGGCTGGGTAGTTTTCTTAGTTTAACATTTTTTTTATGCTAAAAAGATATATTTCTAAAAAAAAACACATGTGAATTTTTTTTAGAAATCTTATGTAGGGTTATTTATGAAGAACAATCCAATATAGCAAGATAACTAGCTGGGTATGTGCTATGGGTATTCCTACGACTATATTACACATAAAAAATCACAAATTTTTATTTTATTTTAAAACAATAGTTTTTCTAAGCGAACACACTGACTTCCATATTGCAACATTTACAACTAGTTTCAGAAATGACATAGGACAATGAAATTTGGCAGGGATGGTCTTCCCACTCATATAAACTTCCACCGCGAATTTGACTGAAATCAAGAAAGCAGTACAGAAGTTGACTTTTCTGATATGATTGCAGGGGCCCTGCAATCATATTTAAGCGTCTATCTTTTATGCAATTTCCACGTCTCTTGGGGTCCGGGCAAGCCAGCAGGCACGGAGAGAGTAACTAAATATCAGTGCGCCATATTTTAACCGGATGACATGGAAACCTCCTCCACCGACGAGGGCGACCCGCGGTACCGAAAGCGCGCAAAATGTGACGTATTTGGTCCTGGGCTTACTGGTCAGAGCCGGTAAAAACTTTGTTTTGGTCGAAATACAAAATATAAGTGGCACGAACCGTTTCAATTGTTTATAAAAGTAGTTTTTGTTCACTATTATAGATGAAAAAAAGAAATAAATGCAGTTTATAAAATACAGAAACAAGAAATTACCCGTCGACATACCCGCCGCCAAGCGGTGGAAAAGGCGGTGCATACTAGAAAGGAGTAGTGGGATAAGGCGCCAACACGGAAAAATCCCGGATGTACGAGGTGGCGCCGCAGTCGTATGGACAGAAGGATCCGACCGGCTCCGAGCGTTACGAAGGCCTTCGGCGAGAGGCTTTGTCTTGCGGTTTGGCCGTTTCGCGGTATGGCAGCGCGAAGTGGCTCCCATTCTGAACTGATCTTTACCCCGTGTTTGCTGTCGTTTGTGGGCAATGAAGTGTCATGCCGAATTAGTGTTTAATCGCGCAGCAAATGCAATGAAAGCCGCTTTGGCTGCCCGCTGCATACAGCCTATCCAGAACATGCTTTAGTGGCGCCCTCTCGCGCTGTCGACACGGAGTGCGGCGGCCGTGAGCGCTCGATGAGCTTACTATTCCTCCTCTAGTTCACGGCCACTCAAGCCAGGACCTACGACGTCATGAAGGAGGTTATTTTTTGCTTGTTTTTGCAATTCTAAATTGCCTATAATTTTTAAAATAAAGAAAATTTCGCGAAAAGAAAAGTTTCACTAAGTTACTACGTTCAGTGCGCTCAGGTTCGGTGCAAATTAAAAACCAGTAAAAAAGTCCTTGCAGGGCCCCTTTAAGATATCCAATTTAATTAATTTATTTAGACACAAAGAGTTGGGGATCGGGTGAAAAATGTAAAAGACAGCTTGTGAGTGTCTGACGAAAGTGCCCAAGGTACGTAATATATGATGCCAAAAAAAAAAACACTTCTGCATGGAAATCACTCGAGTGCAGCGTTGCCGAAGCCGAATTTACTCTCGACGCCACTGAAAGTGAAAAGCATATCTGTTGAAACAAATAAAGATACGTCTACACAAATACATGAAGTGGTGCTTGGCATTTGACTTGAGCCAAGCTTGCTGGAAGTCGATTCCCTTGCGCCATTTAATTTTATTCCGCAATTTATACGGAAGACAGACGTCAGACTTCAATTAACGGGTTTGTCCCTTCAGTCATACTCTAAGTATGTTAAAAGAAAATGTCAGTATAACAAATATAGTTTCCTAAGGTCAACATTGTGAAATGCTGCTAATTAATACTTTAGCACAGCTGATAGTTGAAGAAAAGTACTACTTGGCCTAGGAGGCACCATCGAAACATCTCTGGTGTACTTAATTTTTTTAAAGAAACCGATCGAGACAATACCGCTTCTCTTTTGCATTCCATGCGTCATTACACGGGAGTTTCCCGGTCAGCAATTTCCACAAATGGTGTCCTCG